GGGGGGGGGGGGGGGGGGGGGGCGGAAGCGCTGCTGAGTCGTCGCTCTCCAAACTGCCAAAAGGCAGGAAAGCAAGGCAGGTTTTGGGGTGATAACAAGCAAATGGCTTGCTCTCACCTCCTCCCGAAGTATTTTCTGACTCGCCAGTCTAGCCTGTTGATATTCAGTTGCTCAATCCCTTCAAAGATCTTATCGTCTCCCATCCAATGAACGACCACACCCAACCCTGCTTCGTTCCCAAGCTCAGGCAAGGTCAGCCAGATGCTATTATTACCTGCTGGGACCTGAAAGTTGGAATTTCAATAGTCACAACTTCTACTTTCAAAATGCTAAGATCAGGATCTTAACGAAATGAATAACACATAAGATAGAAGTTATATTAACGTTGCATGCATTTTTGTACAGCTCCTGCCCTCCAGAAGCACTTAAAAGTCCCCTGCAGAAGTGTTCCTAAGACCCTAACAATCACTCAGCCAGATGGCACCAATGTCTGTTTCTTTAGCTCTGGAAAAGAACAGAACCACTATCATATCTGCCTTGAGGCTTAATAGCTAAAACTGAATTTAATCACAAAATGTCCAATTCTCCTCTCTCCTCTCCAAATGTACACACTTAGGAATACTATAGCTCAAACATATGTTACTTTGGTCATATATTTCAGAGCATGAATATCAATACGGGAAGGAAAAAAAGGATCCCCTTCATTGTCCTGAACATAACCTATTCCTTTCTGAGATTGCAAGGCATTTGGGTATCATTCCAATCTATGGAGTTAAGTCTTCTGAGGATGGAAACAGACGCCTACTGTCTTGTCAATTACCTTTTCCTCTCTGGAGCCTAAAATATTACTAGCAATGCTAAGCCACAGGGAATCATATGGTAACCTTCCATTAAACCTTCCATTAACCAAGTTACTAAAGAAATGACAATGTCTGGATTCAGACAACTAAACCATTCGTGTGGTTTCTTTGTAATTTAGCAGATTCTGTGAACCTAGACATAGTCATAGATTCAAACTCTGAATCAGAGCCAGATGCCAATGGCCTTTCTGTATCAACTCTGGCAATGCTAATATAGGATCTAATCAATGATGTCACCAAAAATATCAGGCGTGTGTATTTGCTCATCTTCCAATGTCACACAGGTGGTCCTTGATTTATGACAATTGAAGCCAAAATTTCTGTTACTACACAGTTGTTAAGTGAGTTATGCTCCATTTTACAGCCTTTCTTGCCACAGCTATTAAGTGAATCACTGCAGTTGATAAGTTAGGAACATGGTTGTGAAGTGAATCTGGCTCCCCCATTGACTTTGCTTGTCAGAAGGTGGCAAAAGGTGACCACACGATCCTGGGACACTGGATCATAGATATGAACCAATTGTCAAGTCTCCAAATTTTGATCACGTGACCATGGGGATGCTGCAGCAGTCATAAGTGTGAAAAATGGGCATAAGTTACTTTTTTCAATGCCATTATAACTTTGAATGGTCACTAAATGAATGGTTGTAAGTCAAGGACTACCTGTACATATATTTATTTTTGATTTGATTTCCTACCACACAATCATCCAATACATTTTATGTCAGATATTAACCTAATACCAATACTGGCAATATACAAAACCAGTATTTAAAGACAGCTTGCAGCTGATCTCAAGGTGGCTAAACTCAAGTAAAACATCAAGGGCATATTTCCACATCAAAGAAGGGAGTACAATATATCAATATGTTCAGCTCTTATCTGTGATTTGAATAAAGACAAAGGATTTTCTTTTAACCATCCAGTACAACAGTTTCTTTTGTGCCCAGTGAAAACTTTTTAGTTTTGGAGACAGCATATATTTATAAATTAGTGGCACAACCATGAGACTCTGCATGGCTCCACAACATGCCAACATCTTCATAGCTCAACCAGAAAAACATTTCAACTTCTACCCCCAAAGAGCCCTCTGATAAAAGTTTCATGATTTGGACCCACAGTAAACACTTTCCATGGAATTCCATCGAGAGCTCAATAACTTCCACTCCACCATCAACCTTAATTTCAATGAATCTATAGAAGCCCACTTCCTTGATGTCACAATAAAACTACACAATGGGCCTGTCAACAGCATATTATACAGAAAACCTCTAGATATGCTATCAGGCTTCTTCTGATCTTTGGCTATCATATATTAACCTGGTTCTCCTCTTGCAACAGAGAGCCAATCTGGTATAGAGGTCAACGGTGCAGGCTACAAACAGGGAGACTCTGAGTTCTAGCCCTGCCTTAAGCACAAAGCCAGCTGGGTAACCTTAGGCCAGTCATCCTGCCTCAACCCTAGGAAGCAGGCAATGGCAAATCACTTCGGAAATCTTGCCAAGAAAACTACATAAAATTGTCCAAGAGCCCAAACTGACTTAAAGGCACCCTGTTCTTGTAATGGCTCAAGAAATAATTCTCATTTTTTAAATTTAATTTCCTTTTTATTTCAATATCTACAATTGATCCATTTTCCTAACCAATGTTTAATCTAGGTGCAAGATAATATCTCAAGATAATATTAACTCTCAAGGTAATATTAACTACATCTGATGAACATGATATAAAACTTTATGCCATCATAAATACATTATCAATAAAAGACTAGAAGATTCTAGAAGATTCCTAACGTATACTCTATGACATTAAGAGAACAGGAACTAAAAACAGGATGTTCAGTAGACATCTTTCTCTCTCTCTCAAAACACTGGAGTACACAATCACCCAGCAAAATTGATGAGTGGTTGATTCAAGGCAGACAAAAGAAAGTTCCTTTTTTATACAACATACAATTAAGAGTGTTTGAATTTGCTCCCTTAAAATGCGGTAACAGCCACAAACTATTTCAAACAGGATTACACAAGTTTGTGGACTATAAGTTGGTATTAGCTATGGTTGGTAAAAAAACAACAATGTCCATGTTTAGAAGAAACCTACCTCCAAATACTGGCTATAGGAGTGAGCTATTGTACTAGTGTGCTTGTGGGTCTTGTGCTCTGCAGTGGCATCTGGCTAACTACTATTAAAATCAGAAAGCTGGATTAAATGTTCATGAATCTTAATGGGTTCTTCCTGGAAGAAAGTTGTTCTATGTTGTTTCTTTCATTTTCTGTAGATCCACCAGAGAAGCAGCAGGATTAAAAAATCCCAAGTTCTGCTAGGAAATGAAAGATTGCACCTTAGACATAGTTGTGATATAAAGCTAAGCAATTGCAATTTTACTGAAAGCATTCCCAGCCTTTGTCTCTAAAGGCTTGCATGTCCTGAAGGTGTCAGGCAACTCATCTTTGGGAAGTAATGGATTATGTAAAGACAGAGTCTGTAAATAAGAGCAGGTGGTTTTGGTTTTTCTGTTGTCATGCACATTTATACAATATTTGATGCCAAATATTCCCAGAGACGCTGGAACCCTCATTTATAATTTTCTGAAAATTACGTATGAGATTAGAAAATGCTGTAAAGTGATGGGCAAGGCCTCAGTTTTATTTGGCTCCTACATATGAGGTTTAATCTGATCCACAGCTAAATTTCAGAAGCTCTGTGCCAACACCCAGCCCCTAAACACATAAATTTGATATCAACATATTTACGCTGAAGTATTCAGCTGTGGATAAACTGTTTCCCCAAACAGTAAATTAAAACAATACATCATGTGATCTATTAGCATGCACACAGACATGGATGAAATATCATTCCAGGAGCAAGTAACAGCATCACGTAGAATTTGGCTGATACTGAAAAGCTAAACAGCATTGAATTTGGTTGGTTTTTGGATGGAAAACTACCAGGAATCCTGGAGCGTAGGCTTGTTTGGAAAAACAAAAGTACATCTTGAAAATGAGCAGTGACAACCCACTTCCTTATTATTGTCAAGAAAAACCACACTGATGTCTCCAGTTAGTCACGAGGAATCAAACTTGACTTGAGGGAAGTTTTATTTAAAAGAGAAATACTAATCATTTAGCAGCTCTTATCTCAACTTTAAATTTATTCCTGTTTCATATAGGATACCCTTTTCTTTATGGGCTCATCTAGCCAAACAAAGCTCAGTTAATACATTGACGTTCAGCAGGTATTTCAATTTCCAACTCCTTGGCAGTTTCAGGAGGCATCAAGACAAGTTTAATACATCTGTGACAGATAACTTAGACATTTAGCTTGATGAGCTACAATCTGTTATGAAGTTCAATCTAAAAAGGGCAATCTTGTATTCATAAAAAGATCTAGAACTGAAGGTTTAGCTGGAAACACAATTTATTCTAAGAATGTTCCATCAAAAAAGGAAAAATCTGATAAACATGCATTGTTTATCACAGTACTTATCACAAATAGGTCAATTAGCTCTGTTCCCCCAAATGGCCAAATCCTATATCACATGGGTGCTGTTAAGAACTTTCAGCAACAGAAGCTTTATAAATGTTAAATGAAACAAAGATGCCATGGTTTCCAGAAACTATCCATAGCTGTCTGTTTTAGCAAACCCAGTAAAGTGTCATGTGGTATTTTAAACATTTAGCATTTCTTTGTATTTTAACATACTCTGTTTTACTGGATTGTGTATTAGTTAGATTAACCCAAATGATCAGGTTGGAGAAATACAAATTTTTTTACAGGGTTAAATTTAATTTGACAGGAAAGGGGCTGAATTTTCTACAGACTGCCAAGTAGTTTAGCAATCTGATTAGCTGGCTTGAAAATTCTATTTATAATTTCTTTTCCTGGTTTTGCTTAACTAATAGATATATAAACACCCTGTTTTTATTGTTGTGGTTGTTCAGTATTTTGTTCTTGCCGTTATACTCTTTCCTGTTTGCCACATATTCTGCATTATAACAGAACATGAGATATACATACAATTATGATTCCATCTATGGATATGCTGATATCAATAATATTGAAATATATATTTCAATATTCTAGGAAGGAAGGAAGGAAAAGGAAGTAAGGAAGTAAGGAAGGAGCTGAGTTTCAAATAAAGATTGGAGTAAATACAAAATTCACACACGAAACAGGCTAAACTGAAGGAGCAGGGAGATTCTGATGGAAATAAACGTGCACAAATGGACATTGTTGTGAGAAAATCAAACAAAAATGAGTCTGCATTCATTCAATATGTTAAGTCTAATGTTCTTGTTTGTTACTGTATGTGATGATGGTTTAGGGAAAAGAGATTTGCATTAAAAGTCAGGATCATAAGTGGAAATATTTTTCCACACAAGACATACAAAAATCAAAGTACTCAGAGCAATCCCTAAGGTGCTTTTTAAAGAGGCAACTGGACTTTCTTGTTTTTTTAAAAGACATTTCACTTCTCATCCAAGAAGCTTCTTCAGGATGACAAGTGAAACTTCTTCAAAGAAAAAACAAGGAAGCCCAGTTACCTCTTAGGAAAAAAGCACCTTTGGGACAACCCTGACCTGGATGACTGAGAATCTCCATAGACATTTAGTTATACTCAGAACAATGTTTTGTGAAATTATTGACTATACAAATTTACTTAATAAATACTTAAAAGATTGACAGAATTAGCATGTCTGAACATTAACACCAATCAAATACAGCTCTCTCTCAATCTGTTTCTCTCTCTCTCTCTAAAACATAGTAGTTATGCTTTACAAATGAATGGTATGGAAAGGATCTGGAAAGTGCTATACATTTATTATTTTCTTTATTGTAATTCTGAAAGCTCAGTAAAACATAATATTTAAAAAAAATGGGGTGAGATGAAAATCTTAGTATAAGAGGAGGAAAACTTCCCTAGCAGCAAAAAAAATATTTAGAAATGCAACTCTATGTGGTTGAAGTAAATCATACTGAATCTTGTATATTTTATTTTGAAGTAAGTATATAGAACGAGGCAGTCTCGTACTCTATCAACTGTAAAATATTATGTCACTGCTGCAATTGAGAATCTAATTCAGAAACCCTAAATCCTGCCCAAGTTTCTTTGTTCTTATCAGATTTAGTTTTTATTCGGAGGAAACCACAGATCACAATCAGTCAAGGCTTTCATATTTCCTAATTTTAAGAAGTTATGGTTTAAGTCCTGAAGTTTTTATAGATTACTGACAATGTCCTGTGTGTTTCTCAATATATAAGTAGCTCTGGCCCAGTACTGACCAATGCCAAGATTCCTTAGATCAGATATCAGAATTCTTGCAGGCAGAGGTTTTTTTTTTTAGTCCAGTTAAACATCTTGACTTAATGGCTATGTTTATGCAACACATGAAACCACAACCTACTCATCACATTTCTGGTGTGTTCTGAAAGCTTAAAAAAAATTGAATTAAATGAGCAAACTACAGTTGAGTCAATCATGGATATTATGTAAACACAACTCCAGACTATGGGCATGTCCACACTTAACATTGATCCTATCTTATACTCATGCTGGCTTGATTCTAAACCAAATTAATCTGGTCCAGGCTAAAACACTCTGGCAACAGTTTAAAAGGTATTCAGTTTAGACTGCAGATTATCATTTGCCTCTCATTGGATATTTCCACACCTGCTCTACGGATGACATTTCCACTGTCTGGTTTCTAAAAAGGTCTGAAGATCTGATTCTTCTCTCAAGTACTGGACAAGGATGTTATGTGACCCCATTTTCAATGGCTTTAATGTGGGTTATCTATGTTAATGTGCTTTAGTGATTTCTGCTAGGTTTTGTTGTTTGCTGCTTTTAACCCTCTGTTAAAATCCAGATGCCAGAAGAAAAATCATCTAAATTGAAATAATAAATACATTGCCCTGCTCTTTTCCCAAATTTTCTTTCCTTATAATCAATTATTTTTCTTTTTGGACATATATGTTTTTATTTACACAGACACAAAGTTAAGTTGAATTTTTACATTAAAATGTTGAAATGCAATAATAACATGCACCTAAAAATCTATTTCCAGCATGCACACTAATATTTCTATACTTTCACTTAGCAATGCTGCAAGATCTTTGGTTAGCATACAGAAGTTTATTGATTTGAAATCCAGTGGGAATTTCTTTTTTCCTTAATGATAGCTTTTCTTTGCTCAAGTAGGTAGTTTTCCCCCATTGTTTTTAAAAAATACATCTTGAATTTTATGATTTTACCTCTTTTTCTATAATCTCACACAGAAAAAAAATCATTCAACTTTAAAAAAAAGTTATATATTTTGCATCTCAGAAGCATGCTCATCCTTCTAAGCCAGTAAGTAAAATTTCAAATTATGAAAAAAATATGGTGGGTATTTTAACAAAAAAAATTAATGTGGATGCATTAAAATGGCTCCTAGGTCATTTATATACCAATACCAGCAAACTAGTGAATTTCTGGAGGCAAGTTATTCTCACCACCATCCTGCCATCCTGCCAGTTTCCTGATGTTTTTTTTTCCTCAGCAAGTAACAGTGATCCACTTTTGAAACTCGGTTTTATCCCCAACTAAGTTTCTTTATCATAAATGCATGGGAATAAATGCAGTTCTCTAAACTGCAGGTAGTCCTTCGAATAAAGTTCAAAAAATGTGTATTCAAAAATACACCGTTGTCAACTTCTGTTATTTTTAGTTAAACATATTTTATTTCAAAAAGTTAGATAGGGCAAGTAGCACAATAAGTCTATAAAGTGTAGCAGCGGTGAACATCAAGTGTGAATTTTTATTCACCAATCATATATGCATTTTTAATAACACACATCTATTTAGACTAAGAAGAACTAGCTTCATCATTTACAATAATCAAGTGGGAGCTTGTGCAGTTTGGGAGAAATAAATATTTTTAATACAAAGAATTACTGTGATTTACCTTGGGCACTCAGATCAGTACAAGACACACTTAAATAATATAAAATGGGTTAGTAATCTTTGATGTTATCATGGCATTGGAAATACAGGTAGAAGCAGGTCCATAAAATAAAAGACAGCAAGTTAAGGCAATTAACGATTACACAATTCCCACGAAGATCAGATTAAATAGAAGTCATGCAAAGCAAAGAGAATCAAACGGTTTAACCGTCTATTTTGCGGAATTTAAGGCTTGGGTAAATATCTGGTTCTCTGCAAGTTAGAGAAATTAGAAAAATCTCCGCTAAACTCGCTCTCTGTCATGCATTAAGCTTCTGCTCCATATCCCATTATTTTGTTTAATATGGTCTCATGTGAAACCATAGAAACACATTCTAATACCACAGAACTCAATAACGCCTCCTGTTTCTCAATCCAGAGTACCCTCTGCTGAGGTCCTTGCTTGACAGGATGCCCTGGCCAAGCCATGTTACTACGGCAACAAGATACTTTCCCTCTCTGTGTCTTTTTCTACCCTGCGTTGCATCTGAGAACCCAGGGAGGCGTAGCCCCAGTCGCTTTCCCTTCCGAAACTGAAAGGCAATTTCGCCAATCGAAATTCAGCGAAAGATTAGGCACGAGAGCGCGCGCGCGCGCCCGCTTAAACGGTGGCATCACTCATCCGTGGAGTGGGAGCAAGATGATAGACAGCTATATTTACCAATGAGAACCGAGGGACGAAATGAAGTTTCGCGCGAGCTGTAATTGACGCTTGCTCACGTGTGAAGGCTGGCCAATCAGCAAGGGCGCAATAGCGTCGGCATAGGCGCTCACTCGAGGGAGGGGAGGGGGCCGTGGCGACGAACGGCAGAGGAGGTGGAGGAAAATGGCGCCGAGCTCGAAATCGGAGCGGGGCGCCGCCTCGGGAGGCAAAAGGGGCTCGGCTGAGTTGGGGCGCGGGGCTCGGCGGGAACACGTCATAAGGCAGCTCGAGCGCATCAAGGTGAATGGGAATAGCAACTGGAGGGGAAAGGGACGGATGCGTCTGGGTGCTGTGGCTGGAGCAGGGTGGAGAGAGAGGGCCAGTGTGGAAGTAATGGAAGAAGGAAGGCGTCGATAAAGCCGTTTCGAGCATAACGGTGGAAGCAATTTGCGTGGCTCATGCCCGGTTGGTGTCGGCGGCTCCGCCGGAGTCGCTGTCTGGCAGTGGGGGCGCCTGGGTTCTCCCACGAGGATCCACATCGGCCAAGTCCTCGAGGTGCGGTAGGAAGAAGTTGGCAGCGGAGTCCGGGTGTGAGGCTGCTCATTCCCCGCCTGAGCCCTTCAGCCTCTCGGCTCTTTTCCTTTATCAGT